ACAGGACTGGAGCACATACCTAAGGTTTCGGTTGAATTCCTAATAAAATTCATTAATAACACTCGCACCCTAAGTGACTTTGATCTAGTATCGCAATGAACCTTAATGGTCTACGCGTGGCCCTTTTTGTCTATCAGCATAACCTAACCTAACCTAGTTCTAAGATGACACAACATAAGGGTTTTTCCCTTAACGCATTTTTAAAACAAAATAAAATAAGTATTTAAAGGGTAAACTGTTTTTTAGTTTAAAAAGTTACTCTAATGACATATCTGATCAAATGTCTATGGAGTATCTATAAATACTGTACTGCAATATTTTTTTCTATACAACACTGATAGGTAGATAGATCTGACCAGTCTATGAACTTATTTAATAGTATTATACTTTTGGCGACAAAACTATCAGGAAAAAGTGCGCACAAAATTTGAATAAGAAATTGCTTTATTTAGAATCATATGTGAGTGCATTTTATTAAGAATTAAAATTTCTGCTTTATATGAATAAAATAATGTCATGACACCATCAAATCTAGAAATGTTAACACCAAAGAAATGGCTTCGGCTAAAAAACAGCTGAAAAGTGCGTCTGCGTTTGCATGGCTTGATAGCAACGTGAATAAAAGGAAAACTAGACCGAAAAATAAGCCAAACCGTGAAAAGAAAAGTGCCATACATTCGTTGCCATATTCACATCCGTTTCCGTTTCCTGTTCCCTTTTCTTCTCTCTGCTTCAGTGTTACTGCATTTAATGTCTATTTTTAAAGAATTTTTTTTAAGATATAAATTTCACTTTGTCTCTGTGCTAATGCCAACTTGACATACTCGTATATAATATGTGTTAAACATGTCTGTATGTCTGTATGTCTGTATGTCAGTGCCAGTGCTGTGTCGGGGTGTGCTCTCATATGTGCTAGATAACGCAAGTACGTAACGTATATCACAAAGAAATACTTGCTGTGCTCCTATCTGTGAGTATCTGTATCTGTGAGTTAACATTATCTTTATGGCAAGAGAATAATAAAAAAGTAATAAAGGCGCATAGACACACGATTTTCTGCTTACCTACTCAGATATTTATATTTGCAATATATATTTATATATATATATGATTCCTTATAATGTATGTATCTTCGTATTACGCGGCTCCTGTTCTATTATTCATTATTACATTATTATTTATTTTTCACATCGAAGTATTTCGCTTTTATAGTTGAACAATCATGGATTTGTTGTTCGTCCAATTATGGGTTGGAAGAGTTAAAATTGAAGAATTCTAAGTTAAATAAAAGGATGAAATGTAATTAGAAGGGGTATCTAACGTTATGTAGTATGTACAGATGTTGCTTATTACTTTTTCATTGGTCAAGTATAATCACATATTATATACTATACTATTAATATTACACTAGTGTGCAAATAATTAAAAAAAAATTTTTTCAAAGTCGAAACCTATTGATCCTATAATAAAACTTTCCGTAGAACGCAATCCCTGTTGCTATAAATGGTACGACGGAAACCATTGTGGTAGGTGCCACTATACAAATACAAAAATACATAAAATTGGACATTGTATTGTATGATATGTATTGTACGATATTTAAATAAATCATTTTTGAATTTATTTAATGTTGTGATAATGTAATTTTGATTCCTGCTCTTGATTTTGCAAAATTCCACAAAACAACTTTGCAATATAAAATTTTTAATGGAAGTAAGGCAAGTTCGTAAAAACCTCTATTTTGGGCAAGTATGGAACATTCAATATTTGGTATTGAAAATGTTTGTGTTTCATTCATCCTTGAATATAAAACGTTTTCACAATATTTTTTGGGGCGTTCCATTACTTTAAAATTTAAAAAGTAGAAAAATACGCACAAAAAAAAAATTGTACACATTTTAGCCTATGTTATCTTTTATCCTATTATATTATTATTATTATTATTATTATGTTGAGGCTAGTTGAGTCAGTGCATTTGAGCACTTTTACTCTCTATTAACTGCGAGGTTTCTTCTTAACCCCTCTCTACGCCTTGACTGGATTATTGTTTATCACTTCATCAGACTAAGCAATAACTGACCCCAGATCTGCATACCTTCCCGAGAAGCCTGTAACCATTCTGAGATTCGATTTCGATAACGCAGTGTTAGTAAACCTGTCAGTTTTCGTAAATAATTTCAGGGCTCTATCCTTTTTGTATTTTTTGATCGGATCAATCTTGAGGTCCTTAAGGATGTCATTAACAGAGATTGCTGTTAATAATGAAATAGCACACTAATTCGCAACTTTTTGTAGATAAAAAGAGTTTTGTTCAGCTATTATTATTTTTAATGATAATAATAATAGGGATTTTTTATGCTATCTCTGGTTAGCATAATAAGCCTAACAGTATTTCTGAGTTCAAAATTCTAAACCTCATTTGCTACAAGGGATGTCGAATAAGGCTTTATATATTATTAGTATTATTACTTGTTTTTATTACTTGGATCACAGCTCATGAATTCCAGTTGGTTCTGATCTTTCCGTCTTAAGTATTAAGACGTTAATATTTTTAGACGACGATCAAAAGGATCAAAAGTATGATCACTGAGAATGGATTTACGATTTTGTTATTTGGTTTATAGCTGATTGATGCTAGTTGGACAATGATATTTCTGTTTCAAAGATCGAGAAATAAAAAGGAACGGATTGATTGGAACTTTAGCTCATTTAAGTTACTTTTTCAATTTGTCTAAAGCAGCCAATTACCGATCATTTTAGCAATGCAATTTGTTGATTTTAATAAAATTTCTAAAAATATTAAAAGAAACTTTTTTCGCTGCTAGCCAAGATACAACAACTGATATCCTTTTTAAAACCAATCGAATTACTTCGATGAAAACTTTTTGAGGAAATAAAATTTCATTCCATTACGGCCACAATCGACTTGCTTGTGTTCCTTGTGTTCCTTGTGAGCGAAATTTTTCTCTTTAATTTTTAATGATTTTGTCAACCTCATGCGTTGCCATTGCCATTGCCATTGCCAGGAGGCAAACGGAAGCGAAAGGACGAACCACAAAAGCCTAAACTAATTACGTTGCGCATTAGGAGTTTAGTTGGTTGTGTGCTTTTCGTATATTTACCAACATTGTATAAGTTTGTAAATTATTTTATTTATTATCGAATACTTGAAGAACTTATGTGGGATAATTGTCCTCGCCGCTATATAGTCTCCAGTGAACTTCCTGAGTTTTTGTGTCTTTTTGAGATAAACACAGAAACAAAAATACAAAAAAAGTGTACAAAAAAGTTGTAAAAACTTTTGAAAAATTAAAAATTGAATACATTTTATTTAATAATATTATCTGCTCTCTTCATATAATATTCCATATAATATTCACAAAAACTGTCATGTATTTTCACATTTAATTAATAAATATTTTATTTTTGCAATTTTTTATGCCTTTTTGTTTTTGTCTTTAGGTTTTGCAAATATTTTGCATTTTTTGGGTATTTTTTAAATAAATTATATTTTTTATTCCATACAAATTTTTTATACTTTATAATATAAACTTAGTGAAATGCGCAAATTGTCGGTCCGTCCGCATATCTTTTTTATTTGAGCACACTTTGTGGCGCTTTTAATGTGGTCATTTAATTACGCTCGTTTAACTTGAAATCCTTTATTTTTAGTAGTCCTTTTTTATATGCTTGTATGGGTTTTGGTTGTTTAATGAAATTAAATTGAATTAAATATTTGCATAATAAACAAAGGAAATTATGTGCAAATTGCATTATTTGTTGCATATCATTGATGTGGCTTAACCACTGCGAATGCTATGCTCATTATCTAGTAAATTTTTCAACGATTTAATAATGATTTAATAAGTAGTAGATGGATGACTAGTCCTCTATTACCAAAATCAAATTTAAAGAGCAATTGACTTATTTTTGAAATTAATAAAGTTCATTCATAAATTTATTTATTTAAAACTTCCAATTGTATGAACTTCTTCAGTCCTCTGCAGGGTATGTATCTTCTTCAGGAAATTGTTTCTTTTCAACTTACATGACCCGAACTTAATTCTAACTGACAAAGCCATTACCAAAAAGTTCATATCTCCAACTATATTTTAGTAGGAACTGCAACAATAATTGGTTCAATTAATGCATAAATTCATAATTACTAAAAAGGAAAAATATACCAAAAGGATATTCGAAAAAAAAGAAAATAAGTAAAACAAGCGAAACTTGTGTAAAATGGAAAATTGCAATTATGCTTTGTGCATAACAAATACATAAATAAATACAAAATAAATAAAATTAAAAATTAAAGTGCAGAAATTTGAAAAGAAAAAGCAGGTCGTTGAATGCGCCACTTCCGGTGCAGTGTCAACCTTAGTCTTCCGTTTCCGCCTTCAGACATCAACGTTGCGGGTTGTGTTGGGTCATGTTTATTCACTTTTGGAAAGCGAACGGCAAACGGCAAACGGTAAACGTAAATATGAAAACACGCCGAATAGCTTACAAGTAAAGTCAACATAAATTCAGCGCGTATTCAGCGCGTATTCAGCGCATATTCAGCGAAAAGTTCACCCAGAACTGCAGGCGAGCAAATATGTAGGAGCGCGAATTCGCTCCTGCAATGTGGTTTCAATCGCTGTATTTAATCTGTCTTAATTGTGATTTACGATTAAATGGAATATTTTATGAGATGCCAACTGCAGTGCCCGTGAACCATTTATAAAAGCAAGAAAAAATTAAAAAACTACTTTTATAGTGGAAAGCGCGGTGAAAGTGTAAAAGACACAAAGCAACAGAGCAGAAAAAATCCGGCGAATGAATTTCGCTTTATTTTATTTTGCGTTGTGTTTTCGCAATTAAAAACTTTTTAGTATTTCGAAGAAAAAATTAATAAAATTAACGAAAAAATCAAAAACGCATAAAAAATTCATAATAAGTTTTATAACGAATTTGTTGTTTTTGTTGTTGTTGCTGTTGTTGCTGTTGTTGCTGTCAATATGTTGACAACACACCATTTACATCATCTGCATCATCATCGGGGCAGTACAAACCTGGAACTGGATAAAATCACTAATCTAAATACGGTAAGTGTATATATTAGAAAATTTATATTAAAAATGAGAATTTCACATTAAAGGCCTCATAATGGATCTCGGAGATTAAGATACTTGGGGTAGTTCCATAATTCTTGATCACTGAATATAGAATATTCTAGATATCCTTTTAGCTAAAGACAAAGATTGTATCAAAATTTGTATTGGATACATGTTCTACTCTATTGATTTACTTTGTTTTTAATGTATTAATAGTTTCACAAAGATGAGGACTGCACTACTAACTTAGATGAAAACTCGAGAGTTACGTTCATGTTTCATTTTCTTTTAATTCTTGTTGTATTAAGATACGTAGAGATAAGTAATGACTTAATATACAAACAACATTAGTAAGCGTCCTTAGAAATCTTCAAGGCCCTGTTTTCATATGTTTAGTAAATCTTCTCATTCCTCTATTCACGTTAAACGTCATTGTAAGATCTTTCAAATTTTCAGAGAAATCTTTCTTCATTCTATGATATGTGATGAGATTAACTAATGATTGCCCCAAAAATGGATGTCCTACTGATATTCTATATAGTATTACGTTATCTCACAATTGTTCTTAACAAAATGATAGACTGCAGTAGAATTTTCTTTCAACAAATGACCACATAAGTTTAAATACTTTATCTACACATATAGGTTATATTATTGGAACACATAACTTTAATATTAATGAACGGATTAAATCATTTAACTATTCTTACAAAACGTAATAATTTGTATTAATATAATTCACATTCTTTCCCTCTTCGGTTTGACTATTTATAGTCTTGTACAATGCCTTAAGTTTTAGACGTCACATAAAAAAGTACGTAGCATAGAAATGCTTTCTTGCAGCACTTTATATTTTAAGTTGCATGTTAATATATGTTTAATGTTTGAAAAGCGTGTACAAGGTTATCGAAAGAAACGAATTTGCAAATTTCTTTCTTTTGAAAGCATTTCATTCAATAAATTTTGAATAATTTCAATAAATAATATCTTAATTTTTTTTATGAAACACATTCGTTCTAGGTAAAAGCCGATATCATTCAAAAAGTTTTATTTTGTTTGATTTGAGTTAATGACAATTTCAGTAATTAAAGAACATATAGTGAAAATATTTTACTAAATAATTTAGAAAGTTGTGAGTTGGGCTGATATTGTTGGAGAAAGCAATTTCAGTAAACGAAAAACAGGGATGTACATAAATAAGACACTAGTATTCGTTATTTCAATGATTGATTTGGTTTTTCAGTACCAATAACTTTATGATGTCAACTTTAAGAATTTAAAATGAATATATAAACTTAAATAAATGAGATATATATCCTTTCTTACTCATAGTAAAAATCACGAAACTGTTTGAGACAAACCGTTTTTTGCAAATATTGCTTTGAAGTAGGGAAGAGAAATCATTCCCTGATAAAGGTGACAAAATGTATCTGTATTTGACCAATGTTTTAGATTGTGCAGGATTTGTACAAGTAATTCATTTGTGATTAAAGACGGTGAGTTCAAAAACGTTAGTTTTCCTTTTAAGGAATACTGCAGCTGATGCGGTCGGGAAAAAAAATTTTACATATTTGTATTCCAGAGACTTGACCATTGTAGAATTCTCAAAGAGTTCTTAAATTTAATACTTTGTGCTTTGCATAATGAAAATAATAAAAAATTTTCAAATTTGCAATAACGTTTACATTTCCAAAATTTGGAATACTTTCAACTATTTTCCTCATTTTTCACAACAAAATGGAAAATAATTTTGCTAAAAGCTCTTTATGAAAAAAAAACTTGCTTACAGTTTTATTAGTTTAGATACTTTTCAACATATGTGCAGTCATAACACAGCATCAATATCAGTGAAGGGGCACTAGGGGTGTGACAGGTGGAGCAGGCGGAGAAGGTGGAGAGATGGAAACCGATTTCACGTAATGTTTTCGCAATTCATTCGAAGTTAAAAAATGTCATTTAACTCAGACATTTATGAGTGGATATGAAAATGAAAACCTCTTACGGCAACATGCATGAAAATATTATAAAAATTTCCTGTAAAATTTGAGAATTAATATAATGAAAAAACCTTGCAAAAAAACTTAAAGAAATAACACCCAAAATACATAAAAGTGAAATAATTTGCAAAAAGTATCGTAAAACAAACATATTTCTCGCCCCACTCTGGTTAGCCACTCCTCATCCTCAGGAGCGATCGTTCAGATACTAAATAAAATCGAATAAAATGAAATGTGTGCCAGCAAAATTCAAAAGTTTAGCAAAATTGTTGGAAAAAATATGCGAAAGGGCATAAAAATCAAACACCAGCACCAATTCCAGCAAACAAAATTCTGCTGATGAGCGTTTCAACTATGTTTCATGCGTGAAAATCGCATTTCCGAGCCGTTCAAATCCTTTTAATGACGAACAGCTGAACAACTGAACAACTGAACAACTGCGTTCAGGACGCACTCAATTGTTCGGTAGGTGATTTATGAGCCGCTTCGCCTCGTCCTCATTCTTCACGGCATCTTTGCTGCTCACAGTGCGAAACACATTTGAAGTCCTTTTTGCTGTTTTACGGGTCGGGAAAAAGTCCATAAAAAGGAGTTGGGAGTTGGTGGTTGGTGGTTGGTGGCTGGGAATCGGAACACAAAACGGCGTACGTGTATTTAAAAAGTTTTCAACAAAAAAAAAAAGAAAAATGCTAATGACTTAAAAATTACGAAAATAAAACCAAATTAAATACGAAATCAATAATTTATTTATGATAAATATTATCATTGAATGCTCTACACTTTGTTCCGCCCGCCATGTCCCAGACTTTTAGGATTTCTACTCAAAGATAACAAACGATGTACAGGCACTTAAAAATATTAAATATTATTGGAGTTACAGATTCTTATAATAGAACGTCATTATTGATGTCAGTCGAACTTATATTGATAGTATTACAATATATTTGGTATTAATTTTTTAGCAAACACTACTTTAGCAACAGTAAATGGAGTTTATGAACAGTTTGTAGTGTCTCGTAATTTTCCCACCTCAAATTGTGTTTCAATTTATGTCCGTCTTCTTGAAAAGTAAGTGACTCCTTAATAATCCTTAACTTCTTAACGCAAATTTGTGAAATAAAGTTTTAAAACCTTTTAGACACATTGCCATATGTTCTCAACTCGAGATTTTTTAAAAAGCTTCTCTGACTTTTTACGTCGTCCTATTCGTTCAAGCCCCGTCTTTTGGTGGATTTTCTAAAAACAACTAAATATCCAATCTTCTATTTTATTTTAGATGTGCACCTGAGATATTCAAACACATCACCATTTTGACAATATAATAGGATGTCAACTAATCACGCCGTCTGTCTATTAGTTTGGACTTAACACTGACATATATTTCAATTTCAAAATGATCAACGGTTTTTTTGAAGGAGATGAAATAAATAATTAATTAATTCAATCTATATATATTTCAACAAGTTTTAAATATTTTTCGCCGTTCTATATTTGCTTTATTATAGCAATTATTTGCACATAGAGTGTTTATTAAAGAACATAAAATAATTGCGAACATCAAATCTGATTGCCTATTTTTAATATGAATATAACCTTACTCGATGATCTGTGGACTTGTTTTTTTAACCTTCCTTCCAAAGAATTCGAACAAGGATAATTATTTTAATTCCTATTTATGGATACTTTGATGTTCTCTTGTTGTTTATTAGATATTTATTACATGTACAAGCTTCTGTAAAAAGAAAGATAATGTCAGATAATGTCAGTAGGTGTAACTTGATAAGCTTTTCTCCATACAGATTTCTATAGATATGTTAATACAAAAAGAAAGACTTATATCTTGGGCGTTGCCCAACAAAATCCTTCGCTTCAGTATAAGAGCACTTTATGAAACTCCCTCATTCAGCTTGACATATTCTATTTGAGAGTTCCTCCACTCCACAGTTCCAACCAAAAATGTACTCTTTTTATTCCTCCTTGAATAGTTTTTGTCGAATCCTGAATTCGCATTCAACGACGCCAACTGCTTTATAAAATTTTATTTATTTTATTTAAGTGAAGCTTTGTCCTTGTTTTCTTTTTCGTTAATCTCTCAGCAATGAGACCACGTACTTTGTACGTCATTTCAGCATTTATTGCGTTTTTTTAAAAGTTTCGCTAAAAAATATGATGGGCAATAAAAATTGTAAATAATATTAAGCTGAAATAAATTGCACGGAAAATTAATCAAATCCGAATGCAGTTCTATAATTGGATTAAACACAGTCAACAAACACGAACAATTAAATGCGCAGGTCATCGCATACTGGAAACTTTGATGAATCATTTAAATGGAGAAATAATTGAGAGAAATTCAAAATTATAGTTGATTAATTTTAAATATTATATGAAATTTGATTAATTTTCATAGCTCTCATTATATTAAAAGCAATATTAATAATAAATTCAAAAGCACATTGAAAGCAGGATATCGGAAATCGGTAATCGGCAATTGGCGATTTCAGAAAAAATCCGATACTTAACTTCATTTCCGCACCGAGTCACTCCCGACATACGTACGATTCCACATTGTTATTCATAATCTAAAACCTTAATTATTTCTCACTACTTTGGTAAGTACTTCCAATTCCTCAACCTTCCTACCTACCTTACTCCATCTGTCTTTTGTGAACTATGCGATTTTACAATTCCTGATTAAACTTGGCGGATTATCTAACAATGCCCAAACCCAATACAGAGATACGCGCTTCTTCTTATCTCAACATTGTGATTTGTTTTCTGAAGGTTCTTCCGTAATTCAACTTAACTGAACTATAGCTTATAGTTTAGCGATTTCAACTGATGAATTAGACACTGAAAAGCTCTCTTCTCGAGGTGTAGACCCGCAGTTATCTAACATAATAAAATCTTCCTCAAATACACACACATACACACATGCAGTGAATCCATGCAATTGCAATTAAAGACTTTCGAGTCATGAATTTCCGAATTTCA